GAGTGGCCAAGCATGAAAAGTAGAGTTCATTGTATTGAAGATAAATAACCTGACAAAAAACTTATTTTAATAAATATGTACATTGGTAGAAGTAAGTAGGAAATTTCTTGGAAACTTTAATGCAATATGCACACAATGAACCACTAAAAGTACAAGCAAATAAAGGTGCAAAGAAAAAACAAGGGTAATTTTTATGGCACCGACAACATGACTTGACTTCATCAATTCATTGCGAAATCAAGTCTAATTTACTTTATAGTTCATAGTTTCTACCATAAATACTAATTCACTTTATAATAAATTACATTGTGTATTGTTAATTAATAATTTTGTGCCAAATTTCAAGTCAGATACACTATTCTTTTAGATATCAAGTCAAATACATGTATCAAAGATACTAGATACATTCTAAAATACAAATACGTATGATCCAATTTCTCTTTGTGTAGATGGATAGTGGGTTCTTAACCATAAATGAGAAGAATTAAATACTAGCAATTATTACTCCTTACTATTAAGTTAACCCTATTGCTGATTAAATTAACAACATTGATCTATCGAGGAGTAATAGAAATTTAAGAGATGGTGAAACGTACTCATATATATTCAATTGTGATAGATTCAACCTATCAGTAATAAATGTATGGTTAAAACCCCATTGGATTTGTGGAGCTGAAATTTCTTAGAATGTATTTTTTATTTTATTTTTGTTTTTTTATCTGGTATCTGGTACCGCATTGAAGCTCGACTATTCTGAATTCACGCCACTTATGGCCCCATTTGGAGGAAATTAAGCACTCCATACCTAGGACTTTTTCATACCGAGGGCTCGAACTCGAAACCTCTGATTAAGTGAGGAACAGCCTTTCCGCTCCGCCACATCCTTTGGTGGTTTTTTAAATGTATGGTAAAAAATTACACTAGATAAAGGGAGGTTGGTGTTTGTACTTGTGGATCAATAAATTTCTCAGCGGAATTAGGAATTTAGTGAAGGGTGTGCAAATATTTTTCTTAGTTATGTTAAGTGTGTAAAAAAATTAAATATACACTTGTAATAACAAATTAATATTTAATCTTGATATACCACATAATTTTCTAGCGATGTGTGTGCACCAAACCACCCTTCACCTTAAGTGGCTCCGCCCATTACAATAATTCCATTTAACTTCTCCTAAAATTTTGTTTCTTCTCATTTGGGACTCTTTTTCTTTGAAGCTTCATCCGTACTTTTAGCAGTCCATTTTGTAGTCCAGAGAGGGCAAGTTTATTTTTTGGCTGAAATTCCAAAATGACAACAAAAAAATATTAAAAAGCAAAGGGGTAAAGGCACATGATCCCCACACCTTACCCCAATTTTTTTAACGCGGTTAACAATGTAAAATGGAAGGCACGCGTGAGGCCCTTGTAAGGCGAATGGCTCCCACACCTTTATTTCTTTTTAGTTGTCTCACTGTGCTTTTCGAGAGTTGGGTGACTTTTTCCAATTTTTGTTGGAATTTGTCAAGTTCATGCACAATTGTCAGCACTTTAATCCATGTCACAATTAAATATAAATGTGTGGAAGGCGTGAAGAAATTTCCTATTACTTACTATGGAAATTTACCAGTTGACTATAGAGAGAAGTGAAGATACTCGTAAAACAATTACAAGAGTTATTTGTACAAACTTTTGACAAAAAGGAAAATAATCACCTTTTAAATTAATATGGCGATTTGATCCTAGAAGAACTCTTGAAAGCATTCAAATACTCTCAAGTTGCCCTCGTTATTTTCCCTTAAATAAAAGGAAAGATATACGTTCTTTTCTAAGCGGACTGAAAAATAAAAAAATAAAACAATCATATTGAAACAAATTGAGTATTTTCTATTTCCATCCAGTGACAAGTTTCTCTGTTTGTTACAAAACAACTAGATTCTTGGCTTGAGAAAAGAAGTTGGGTATACGATAATCCAATCTTCTTGAACCTACAAATATTTATCTAACTCCCGTTTTAATAGAAGTGATGTGACATCTCTCTTGAAATCAATGTAGCTCAAGTGGTCGAGCAACTATTGATAGGGTATATCGTTTGTTTCTTATCCGTCATTATTTTTGGAACTAACTAAAAAAGAAAGTGAATCGATAAACTGAAACAGAGAAATTAGTTAATTACAATTTTTTCCAAATAATAATCAATCAAAAGCAGAGATATGGTCCAATTTTTCTTACAGTGAATCCATAACCATAAATAAAAAGAATTATTAGTTAATTACAATTATTAAATGAGAGATTGAAAAATAACAATAATTATGATAGAGTCATATAATTATTTCTTCATTCTTAATTAAATATTTTGAGTTTGTGCCTTGATTATTGACTAGTCCTTGTTAGGAAGTGTTTTACCCTCGATGTAAAACCTCTCGACACGAATTTGAATTAAGTCAAGTATCTATGCGGATACATAATACTAAGTAAAACTAACTCACAATAATTTGCTTCAATGGAGATATTTTTCAAGATATAGCCTTTCTTTGTAGCTTCATGCACTTACATTTTGAGATGTCCACTGTGTTCATTTTGCTGTGGAACCCATAGCAATAATTCAATTGGAGTAGACCCCGTCTTCCAAATTTTTTACCTACAAAACATGAAGACTAGACTTTCATTGAATATAAACAACCAGTCAAAAACAATAAATGTAGGAAATTTCTTGGAAACTCTAATGTATATCCACACAATGGACCACTAAAAATTGAAGTACAAGCACATACTAGTGCAAAGAAAAAAGATGGGCAATTTCTTTGTCAACGACAATGCGACTTGACTTCATCCGTTCATTGTGATGAAAGGTAAAAATCCATCAAAACTAGTAGGAGAAAACTATATAATTACACAAACATTTCTACTATAAATACTACTCCCTCTGTCCCAATTTATGTGACACATTTCGCTTTTCGATAGTCAAACAGTTTAAGTTTGACCGAAAATTTGCTCATGGAATCTTCAAATTTTTTAAAATGAAATTTATATATTTGTAAACTACATAAAAAGTATTATAAGTCTCAATAATTGATAATTCAAAATAATTAAAAGAAATATGAAAAAATTACGGTCAAAGATAGATTTGTTTGAATCTCGAAATCCAAAATGTGTCACATAAATTGAGACAGAGGGAGTAGTAACAGATTGAGAGAGGCTAGCGAAAGAGGGAGAGAGGTGAGCGAGAGAGGAGAGAGGCGAGCAAGAAAGTCAACATATATCTTTTGATACTAGATACACATATTTTTCTTAATACTAGATATATTATGAAATACAAATACATAGAGAGAGGGTGAGAAAGAGAGTCAGTGTATCTCTGATACATACGTGTCACACTTGAATATACAATGTAATTGGAACAAATTACACCAAATTTGACCCGCATATATTTGAAATACATGTATCTGAGTGCCCAAAAGTAAAAATATGGTTCGAAAGATAATTTCAAAAACTAAAATAAAAATACGTAATTAGACTCTAAACTAGTGGCATTTGTATTGTTTGTTCGGTCCAATTTTTCTTTGTGCAGATGGATAGTGGGTCCATAACCATAGACTGGAATGTTTATTTCTTCTTTCCTCTATATAACTAATTTGTTCATCAATTGATCTCATCCGATCCATACACTTTACTTTTTCTTTTCAGATAATTAATTGAATCTATGGCATCATCTTCTTCTTCTTTTGCGAGTAATTCACAAAACTGTCCTCGATGGAAGTACGATGTCTTTCTAAGTTTCAGAGGAGATGATACCCGGAATAATTTTACGAGTCACTTGCACAAAGGCTTGAAAAATAGGGGAATATTCACCTTTCTAGATGATGAAAGGCTAGAGGATGGCGATTCCATCTCAAAAGAACTCGTGCAAGCGATAGAAGAGTCTCAAGTTGCTGTAATCGTTTTCTCAAAGAATTATGCTACGTCAAGGTGGTGCTTGAATGAACTAGTGAAGATTATGGAATGCAAGGAGAAAGAAAATGGACAAACAGTTATACCGGTCTTCTATTATGTGGATACATCACATGTTCGATACCAAATTGAGAGCTTTGCAGAAGCATTTGTCAAACACGAATCGAGGTATAAGGATGATGTTGAGGGGATGCAGAAGGTTCGAGGATGGAGGAATGCCCTAACTGCTGCCGCAGATCTAAAAGGACATCATATTCATGACAGGTAAGTTGGAAACAAATAATTGCTTTTGATGAAAAAAAATAACAATATGTTTCTATATATTACCCTGAACTATAATGTTTCCTATTTAATACGCTCTTGAACATTAAAAGTATGAAAATACTTTCTAATACTGGACTTCCTCACACTGTCAACAATCAATCTCTAATTTATGTAGGATTAATCAATCAAAGGAAATTGATCAGATTGTCGACGACATCACTTCCAAACTTTGCAAGAGTGCTCGTTCTTTATCTGATTTGAAAGATGTTGTGGGAATACATGCTCATTTAAAGAAACTAGAATCCCTACTTCAAATGGAAATCAATGATGTTCGAATTGTAGGAATCTGGGGAACAGGCGGAATTGGTAAAACGACGATAGCAACAGCCATCTTTGATAATCTATCTGAACAATTTGAAGCAGCTTGTTTTCTAGGGGATGTTAAAGAAAATGCAAGAAAGAATCAACTGCATTCTTTACAAAATATCCTTCTCTCTGAACTGTTAAGAAAAAAAGATGATTACGTCAATAATAAGTATGCTGGGAAGAGCGTGATTCCAAGCAGACTTTGTTCTATGAAGGTGTTGATTGTGCTTGATGACATTGATGAAAGAGATCATTTGGAGTATTTAGCAGGTGATGTTGATTGGTTTGATAAAGGGAGCAGAGTTATTGTAACAACTAGAAATAGACAATTGATAGAGAATAATGATGCAATATATGAAGTGCAGACACTACCTGATGATGAAGCTATGCAATTGTTCAATCAACATGCTTTCAAAAAGAAAGTTCCAGATGAGTGTTTTGAGAAGTTCTCATTGGAGCTAGTAAATCAGGCTAATGGCCTTCCTTTAGCCCTCAAGGTGTGGGGTTCTTTGCTGCATAAGAAAGGTGTAGATAAGTGGAAAAAAATTGTAGACCAAATAAAGAATCACTCTAATTCAGAAATTGTTGAAAAACTCAAATTAAGTTATGATGGATTGAAGCCCGAAGAGCAAACAATATTTCTAGATATTGCATGTTTCTTCCGAGGAGAAAATAGAAAAGAAGTCATGCAAATTGCTGAGAGCTATGAATCTGGAGCTGAATACATATTGGATGTCCTAATTGATAAATCCCTTGTGTTCATCTCTAAATATGATAAGATTGAAATGCATGACTTGATTGAAGATATGGGCAAATACATAGTGAAAATGCAAAAAAAATCCGGAGAACCTAGCAGAATATGGAATGATGAAGATTTCAATGATGTGATGATGGACAATATGGTAAGTAAGCTAAACAATGCAATAGTATTAAATTTATTTGATGGTGCTGGCTCTTCAAGAACTTCAAGTACAATAATTAATATAAAACATGACAAAAATTTGCATTCGGGGGTAGAGTAAGAAACAATGATATTGATAAGTGGATTGTACATGATTTGTTGATTCATGATCTTTTTATAGGGGGCCAAGGCAGTGGAAGCAATCTGGCTTACTTGTTTTAGACAACTAAGCTTTAGCGAAGAGGCAATGAAAAATATGCAAAGCCTTAGGATGTTACGCATACGGTGTCCATGTGCTTCCCTAAGTGATTCAGAAGACGACTCTATTGAGTACCTGCCCAGCAACTTGCGTTGCTTTGTCTGGCATGAATGTGCTTGGAAGTTATTGCCAGAAAATTTTAATCCCAGAGGGCTTGTTCATGTTGATCTCCAATGGAGTTCATTGCATTATTTATGGAAGGAAACAAAGGTACCATTCTATTTTCAGATACTTTCTATTTTTAATTGTCCTAGAATTATAATTGTTCTCATACTAAACTCTGTGAATTGCATTTCCAACCTCTGCATCTAAAGAAGACACAATAAAAATATGTTGGCACAATTGAGTTCTGTGAAAATATTATATAAGGTATGAGTTATATCAAATCACATTGTAATGAGTATCACAAACTTTTCAACAAAAAAATATATAATTTGAAATATATGAACAGTCAATCTATTTAAATAACTTCTTTATCGTATGTAAAATGATTAGACAGTCCATGAACCTGCAAAATTTGGACAACAAAACTTGGTTTGGTAGTTAAAGTAATGATTAAACTTTATGTTATTAGGTCCAGAAATGTGATATAACACATGTAACCATACCAAAATGAGTATACAAAGATGATTAAATGGCTCCGATTTGACTATAAAAGAAAATTTCTACATACCTTACTTTGTAGTTATCAACTATTGTTTCATTCAATGACCGTTGATAATTAGGAACATTCTTAATGTTCATTTATATAAGAATTTAGCTTAAATTCATCATTAATACTAATTGTTAACCGAAGGAAATCAAATTTTTTGACAATTAATAGAATTTAATTAAATCATATATATCCTCTATTAAATATTAATGTTTACGTTATCTATCATTTGGCAAGTCATCACCAGAGGAATTAAGATTCTTTTTAAGATGATGAATGTATGTTATGTGAAGCTTTTTATCATTAAATATATATGATAAGTAGTCTTTAATATAATATCATTAGATAAGACATCCTCTTTTAATATTATCATTTTTATTTATACTAATATAGCCTAGTTCTAATATTTGTAATGTCTTTTTTAAAAATAAAATAACTATATATATATAGAATAGAGAGAGAGAGAACGTTAAAGAATTATTTTTTTTAGCATTGTTAACTATGAAAAGTTTGAATAGTTATGATAGTACGTTTTGGGCTTCTCCTCATTAGTTAGTAATAGAACAGTTGAAAGATCGGAGTAATAATAATGACTTTTAGATTATTAAAACTTATAAGTAATGAAAAAATAGCTTATTAATTAAAAATAAATAAGATTCTTCAGATATATATATATATATAAATAAATCAGCAATTTAAGATTATTTTAGTAATTCAATTTTTAACTTTGTTGCTTATGCAATATTATTAGTAATATTTTGTTTTTATTTAACAAAATATTGTTTTCCTTCTTTTGCTTGCCATTCGTCTATGCCTTTTTTTGTTTTTTTCAATCGAAGGGATAGTACTGTTTTGCATAAAAACTATTAAATTCAGCACATACATAGTCAATACTTAGACCTTAATATCATAAGAAAACCACTTCATAAGTAACCTTCAAGTATACTTGTGCAATGCATGGATAAGACCCCATAATCCCATCCATATTAAGTATCCCCTTTGGTCATCATAATCATACTTAACATCTCATGGTCTCATCCTTAGCTTAATTCTCGTAAACAAGGGAACCTTCACCTTTAGTCAACATATCAAGGATGGCAACTATAGCAACAATCCAAGCTAAGCATACAACATATAAGAGAGCACTTAATAAGTAGCTTCAAGTCATACTTGTGTGATGCATGTATAAGACCCCATAATCCTACCCATACTAAGTACCACTTTAGGCTATCATACTTAAATGATTACTATTCATCATTTCTAGACTACCAAGGAATAACACCCTATTAGGCTAGACCAAGCTACCAAAGGAATAGCACCATACTAGGCTAGACCATGCTACCATGGAAGGCATACTATCATGCAAGTCCAAGCTATACAAGGAAGGGTA